CAGATTTGCATAACAACCTTTCTTTTAGTGAAGTATATGACATACTAAGCCTTAGCTGTAAGGCCCATTTGCAATGCCAAAAATAAATACAAATACATTCAGCATTACAATCAATAAAACCTAAATCTTTTAGAACCCAGTGTTCATCCCAACCCCTCATATTATTTCAAATGCATTTTATACTGTTTTAAGAAAATTCTTTCTCCTGGATTAATGTTTCAACTATTAAAAATAGGTAAACTTTATTGTGCATTATCACTTGAATAGACCAAATAATTTTAGTGCTTTTATAGATAATTGGCTTTCAAATTGAAGCATGATGATTTATTTTTAAAAAGAAAGAGAAATCTTCAGCATTGAAATAGATTAAAATAGATGTCTTATTTAGAGTTACAAAAGCAATTTCATTTTCAATGTCACATTTAAAGCATGGTTATTATTTTTAAAATGTATTTCGAACTGATATTATGGGTTTGGTAAGAAGAAAAGCCACCATGTAATAGTACAGTGATAAAAATGAAAGGTAAAAAAAATCAAAGAATATCAATTTTACTTTTTTTGAACCCATCTAAATGAAAATCATTTACACAAATATAAATGGGACCCAGGTATAAGATTACTAGGCCCAGCTATTATGCAATAATAGTTAGAAGTCCTATGAAGATACACACATAAAAAAGTAATCCTCAAGCAAGCTAGAATCACTTTTGAAACTAGAACTTCCTATACAAGAACAATAAAAATTCTCTTCAGTTTATAGAGAAAATGTTTCAGGCTTCCAGCAAAGGTCAGACCAAACATGCATGTACTGCCCTTCTTTCTCAAATTCCACTGACATATATTTGTTGAGCCACTACTATGTAACAAGCAGTTGGAAAGAAAGCACGTATTACAAAGTGAGCATGCTAGGGACCCATCAGGTAGCAGGTGAGTTACAGTAGTAAACAAGAAAGGATATCAAAAGTATATCTCATAATATATTTTGTGATAACAAATTTGACCTGAGGAGCAATAGAGAAACTTTAGACTCCTCTTCTTTATCATCTAAAGCAGAAGTCCTATAATTATATTATTGTATGATTAATTGACTCATGTCCACTTCCAGGGGGCTGGCTTCATGTTTGTTTGCTCACCATTGTACCTCCCTCCAGTACTTCCTACAGCATTTGGTCATAGGAAGTACTTAGTTAAATGAATGAATGAAGGTTTACTACTCACCTAAAAATATATATATAATCAGTTTAAACATTTGCTGTCTTTCAGAGTCTTTGGATAACTCTATATAAGGAATAGTAAACTAAAAAAAAACATAAATGAAATACTACATTATTATTTATAATAATTACTAATACCATACAAAGTTTATTATGCTCATTAAGGAGTCTAAGCCATGACTGATCACTTTCCTATAATGTGTGGCACTGTTCACATCTCTTGTTCTCAGAAGTCAGAGTGTACTGCAGACTTGCAAAGTCCATCCCCTTGAAGACAGATTAGTCATGTGCTTCTTTGGCCACTACAGTGTGAGCAGAAGTGATGTGCATCAGTTCCAGGCAGAGGCCTTTGAAGGCTGGTGTGCAACCCTCCAGCTCCACCCTGTGTTATTGTCCTGTGGCTGCCATAAAAAATTACCACAATGGGTGGTCTGAAACAACAGACATGCATTCTCCCATGGTTCTAGAGGGTAGAAGTTTGAGATCAAGGTGTCAACAAGGCGTCGTTTCCACTGAAGGCTCTAGAGGAGGATCTTCCTTGCCTCTTCCGACTCTGGTGGTTGCTGGCAGTCCTTGGCATTCCTTGGCTTGTAGACACATTACCCCAATCTCTGTCTCCATTTGCACATGGTGCACTCCTGTGTGTGTATCTCCTTCATGTCTCTGTGCCCAAATCTCCCTCTCCCTTCTCTTATAACTATGGCAGTCATTATAGTTTGGGCCCACCCTAATCTGGTACATGTCGTCTAATACGGATTACATCTTCAAAGACCCTTCTACCAAATAAGGTCACATTTACATGGACTTGGAGTTGGGACTTAAAAATAACTTTTGGGGGGAGATACAATTTTATCCACTACACCACCCTATGCAGGCAACCACAAAGCACGTGTTGAGAGGGAATCCTTCCCCGGCCTGGGTCCCAGCATGTCTCACTGCAGTGGTAATAAGACAGGTTTGTGTCTCCCAATTCATGTCATTTCAGTCCCATGTCCATTGAGTAGAGTAACAGGCTAAATCACCTGTACCAGATAAAGAATCTATCCATCTAGCTTTTTGATGACTACATTTAATCAATTCACATAAATTAAATGTGTCTCTAAATGGTATGTCATTTGCTTGTGACCTGTCTCTTGACTGTCCTCTAAAGGATATCTTCCTGCTGATCATCATTTACTGAGAGTGCCTGCTAATAGGCCTATCATTGTGCTATGTGCCAAGAGGGATGTATGGGAAGCTAAAGACAAAGATTCTAAGGAGTATATTATCAGATTAGGTGGGGAAGACAAAAATAACTATATCAGTACTGGCTGAACTTGTAGAGGACACCCAATAATAAGACTTGACAAGAGTTCACTCTAATAGGGCTCCCAGTCTGTCCTAGGCACTATGCTGACTACTTTACAGGGATTATACTCTTTAAAGCCCATGGAAGTTATAACCCATGAAGTTGGATTTTATGTTCATGTTATAGGTGAGAAAACAGAGGCTTAACAAGGTTAAGTAACTTGTCCAATGGCCACTCAGAATTCCAATTCAGGTCAGTCAGATTCACAAGCCTGGGATCCTATGGACTTTTCTCGTCCTGCCCCTTCCATCAGTTGAACCCTGATGGTCTGCTAGGAAATGGTTGTCTGCCCTGAACTAAATAAACAAAGATGGGTTCTCCTCACACAGGGATCCCTGGGCTGAATTGATCATGCGGCCATATGAACAGGCTGCAGTAAAGAATAGAACGGGACAGAAAAGCTACTCTTTAATTTCTTTGTCAATGTTAGTAGGCTGGTCTTCAGACGTCACTTATTTTTGTGAACTAATCCAAATTCAACCCTCACCTTTCCTTTATAAAATGGAACTAACTTTTAGACTTCATTTTCTAACTTGGCCATGGACACAAAGATTTGTCATATTGGGGGCCTTCATTTCTCCCCTAGAGCATTAAAACAATTAAAAGAAACAACATGATCAAAAAGAAACATGAAACCAAACCAACCCTGTTTTTAAGTGTTTCCAACGTTGTTTCAAAACAGCCTTCAGAGGATATTTTCCAAACTGCCATGTATGAAGCCATCCACTTATGAAATCTGATTTTCTTATGTAGACATATCCTGTTTTTTATGTTTATAGAAGCAGGGAATGCCCAGGCTGGCATTCCATAGTAGCAAATATGAAATAGACCAATTTTTTTAAAGTTGTAGGAATGTTAAAATCCATATTGACTGGTTTTTACATTTACCCAGCAGCATTCCCATGCTAGCGTTGGCATGGAGATTGGAAAAGAAAATTTTCCACCAATCTGTCACTTGCTACTGTTTCCACTTATTTTACTGACTCCAATTCCAACTATTTTTTTAACTTAAATAAGTTTGATTCTTTTGTTTCTTTGAGCACATTCTGAAACATGAAAACAGGGGTGAAAAGGTTTTAAAAATCAGTAAAGGTTTTAGTTTTCCAAATAGTCAGCCATTTAACATTCAGATAATTGCCTGCTCCCCCAAAACGCCCTGCCACACACACATTTAGTCTAAATGCTTTGGCATGAGGGAGCCCCACAGTCTGAAAGTAACTTTGCCCCGACTCTCCTCACTGTATTTATTAAAGAGGCTGAAAGACACATCTGCTTTTCAATAGTTTGTGGTCCTTAAGGGACCAGGGAAAGCCTGCGGTTCTGAAGATTTAAAAAGAAAATTGGGTATCTCAAAATTTTGGCGCAAGCAAGTTTGGTGTGGTCACACGTTCTTAAAGTCATATTCCTTGAGGGAAAACAGACTGGGATTCTTAACTGGGCTTGGGTGGAAGATGGAGGGCAAATTTATCACTGTTCCTGCAATGGACGGCCTGGAGCCTAGGAGGCCCAGATGAAGGAATGACACACAGCAACGCTGTGTGGCATCTTGTAAGGCTGAAGGCTGGTTTTCCTGGGCTGGAAAGTAACAGAAGACAGAGCTGCCTCACTGGGCTCCAGGGGTTGGCACACCAAGGCAGGAGTACTCATTTCCTTTTGGCAGTATCCAAAACTGCTCTGCCCGACTCTGGCAAGATCTAAAGAGAGAGGAAATGCTCGTGAGAAAAGTCGGAGAGAGGGGGTCTGAACAGATGTGAACATAAAGGGAAAGCATTTGAAATGAAAGAAATACATTGGACTCGCACAGCTGGAAGGACGAACCCCTAATGGCATCAAGGCTGTGGTATTATGAGTGGTTTTGCTCTCCCTTTGTTCTTCCCCCATTTTCCACGTTTCACGTTTGTTTGTTTGATGTTGGCCTTTTCTGTAGTTGGACCACGAGAAAAGACCCGGGTAGTACCTGGCACACAGCGCGCGCTCTGTGCAGACCTGCTGGGACACATTTAGGGGTTCCTATCCCTCTACACCCAACCCCACCCCCCAATTTGTCCACAGCGCCTGGCACGTAATAGGCGCTCCCTAAACATCTGTAGAACAAACGAGCTGCAAGAAGTCAGTGCTGAGCAGCGTCACTTTAGAAACGAGGACAGCAGAGAGTCTCAGCCCACAACAGTGATTCCCAGCGTGCTAAAGACGGTGGCGGCGAGTCTCACGCGGAGACAGCCGCCGGGCTCCGGGCACTACGCGGGAGCTGCCTGCGTGGCGTCCTAGGCGGGGCGCAGGGCGCCGGCACGTGTCATCTCGGGCGCAGGCCGGAGGGTGCGTGTGTGACCTGGGGAGGGGTGTGCCCCGGGAGTGCCCGGGGGCTGCGGGGCGGGCGCGGGCTGAGTCACGGCCGAGCTCGCTTTTATAAACCCTTGGAGACTCGGAAGCCGCCCAGCAGTCCGCAAACCCGCAGCTCCACGCTCCAACCAGAGCGCCCGGCCCTGCGCTCCCAAAGGCCGCCGAACGCCTCCAGTTCCGAGGGCGCCATGAGGAACCGATGCTGCGCCCCTCTGCTGCTCCTGCTGCTGCTGTCGCCGCTGCTGCTCACGCCCCCCGCGGGGGACGCCGCCGTCATCACCGGGGTAAGCAACCCAGCGCACCTGTCTGCTGGAGGCGCCCAAGGGGGCTGGGGAAGGGGATAGAGAAGGGGAGGCCAGGGACGCGGGGAGGATCGCCTGAGACGGAACACCTGCCCCGGACACCCCATGGCACACTTAGAAAAGTGCCCTGCTCAGGAAGCAGCTGACGGCACGGGACACTGCGTGCGCCTTGGAAGAAAAAGTCACCAAAGTACCACTCTCCCACCTTTCTCGCCACTTTTCCCCCCGCCTGCTTCTTCTTTATCCCCACAACCTCTCTCCTCCTGTTTGGTCCGTTTTTCTGTTCAGATGAAAGATATTTTTCAAAGTCTTCTCAAGCACTTTTTCAAGACGTTCCAGCCTGTAATCTTGAAATTTGAAGGGCCCTTCCTGAAATGCAAAGGGGCAGGGTGAACACCCCACATCCCGAGTCTTAATCCACGCATCCTCCGTCCGCAGAAACCCTTTAAAATAACTTGGTCCCAGGCCGTATGTGCGCTTTGAACAGCGATGTGGATGCTTTCTTCTGGGTCCCAAGGCTTTTTTATTTTTTTTCCCCACCCTATTGAGGTTCTCCCTCTAAAAGTTTCCATTTCCAATTCCTGATAAAGCATCTCCAGTGCTCGGGCATGATTATGGAGTAGGCGGTCATGTAAATGTTTTAGCTTAGAGAAGACGTCTTCATTTGGAGGTAGGAACCAATTCACTTTTTTCCCCACTCTCACCAGTTTTTTTCTATGGATCCAAAGGACGCATTTACAGCACAGAATTAAAAAGTCTAATCTACTTTACATCAACAACACAAAACCGCTATCATTTCCTGGTTCAACCGCTTTACTCCCTTTTCTCAAGTCTGAAATTATTTTACGTCTCCATTAAATTTCTTCAAATATCTAAGTGCACATTATAGGATTTAAATAAAACCTCTGCGTGTGAAATGATGATATATAGATAATGTCAATGCCTTGAGAACATAAAACTCTATCGTACCCATGTTAATTAGTAGGCTTAGAGCATATGTTAAGCCCAACAATATTTGGTTCTATCCAGGAGATACTTAGTTAATAGCATTGTGATATTTATTAGAGTAGTTTGGGGTGGGGGGGTTGTTTTTGTTTTTTACCAAATGTATTTGAATAGTTTTGTCAGTAGCCAGCTGATGTGGTTGAAAAAAAATATGGGGCTTTCTAGTACATGAGGGTTGAAACATGATAGTTCTCTTCCCCTCTTCTCCTGCTGGCTCATTTTAAATTTCTCCTAATCCTCTGAGCCCCAAATTCTTTTGCAATGTAAGTATCTTTTTGTTCCATTCATGGGACAATAGAGTTTGAATAGCTGTGCAATGGATTAAGGATGAAGGGCATTAGGAAACAGCTGTCTAATTAAAAATATATAAACCTGTGCAATTCTTTGTAAATATTTCCAAGAACTGACACTTCTTGTTACAAAATGAAATTTTTATCACATTGGATGTTTATCTACAGAGATTAAAGCTTGTTATATAGTTACAGGGGCTGTGTCCTCACTGTCATTTTAACTCAGTGTTACAAAAAGAATTCCATTAAAATTCTCTGAAGCTACATGGTAACAAAGAAACGTAGTTATGTCTCCATGACAGGAACCATCTGGAGTCAAATGAAAACCTAAGTAACTTATCTAGATATATTGTCTATAGGATGTTAAAATCCAAGTAATTGATTGAATTTTAAAAGATTTTTGGCTGGATTTTGACTGTCTTATAAAAAGAGTTGGTGGAGTTTCAGAATTCAAGGTCTTGAGCATCTGTTGAAATAAAATACTGCCTGAGACCTCCACTTTAAATATTTATTTTGTAATATGTGTAGTCTTTTAAAAAATGATTTATATGTTACATCAACTCGTTAAAAGCATATTTGAAAAGATCATGTACTGAACATCTCACTTATGGAATGAACTGGCCATGTATACATGGTATCTGGCATATAGATAAAAGTTGGAAAATGGGAATGTTAAATATTTTCCTATAAATGTCCAAACACCCCAATGTGGAAATTATAGGTTTTTGTCCACCCAATTACTTATTTAAGTAGGCTGAGAGAAAATTCTAGTGGGGGAAATAAATCAACTGTAAAGCAAGCTCACTTTTAGTGAAAAGTAATGAATGAGAGTGTACCCATACACGCATGTTTATATTTTAAGGAGTTATGGCTGTCCTCAAAACTATGAACTTTTTGAAGGCATGTTTTAGTTGTTCCGAATAATTGTAGATTTAAACTTGTGCTTAAATGATAAACTTTTTAATCTTATATACTGTATAGTTCATAATATTTTTATCTTGTGTGTAATTTGTTAGCACAACATTACTGCACACCATTCAAACAGAGCATCCTATTTTTTATTGATTCTAGGAAAGAACAATAGTTCTTCGGGTCTATTTTCATGCATATAAATTTAGACTTCATTAGTTATTTCTATTTAATAGTGTATGAAAATTCCTCCATAGCTGATTATTTCACAGTTTTCAAGAACAGGTGCCTTGAGTAATCTCTGTAGCGGATAATTGTATTTCCTCACTGATGTCTCTGATAGTATAGTTCAGCTGATTTTGTATGTACACATATGTATATCCTAAGCCAATCATTTTCTTTTTTGCAGGTTACTCACTGGGGATATATGTGGAAAAAAGAGTAGCGTAAGGGAAAGTCTTGGTCTGTCCATTCTCAACCTATGAGGTTTATTTCTTTAAAAGGAAAATGGTAACAATCAAGTCAGTGGTATGAGAAACATCAAGTCTCATGAACTAAAATGCAAATATTTAAAAGGGAAAATGAGCACTTCTAAAATTTACATCAGTGCCTTTCTGGGTCTGGAGCAGTTCATGGCATATTTAGAAGCTATTTAAACCCCTTTTGGAAACTGGGCCCAATGTATTCTGTAGTTAATAGTCATAAAATCTTATGACTTGATTTATGTGTTTCCTAATGGACATGTATGCTATAAGACTAACATAGATTTATTTTGTTCAAGTTCAAAGCAAATTCAATAAAACACTAGAAAAAGAGAGCTGGTTTTTTAAAAAAATATTGTTTTTGAGATTTTCATAATATGTGAGCCATTTTTTAGGCTATTTTTTAAAAACTAGGAAAATCTCTTCTGATAATATTTTATGGTAAATCTGTATAAGCATATGAATATTACAGTTTTAATATATGTGATTATTAATAGAATAGCAGTTGGATATTTAAAATGAATTTTTATTGCTAATTTTAGATTTTCTTAGCTTGAGTCTTTTCTGCTATCTGTATTTACCTGTTTGCTTGTTTCATTTCAGGCTTGTGACAAGGACCCCCAGTGTGGTGGAGGCATGTGCTGTGCTGTTAGTATCTGGGTTAAGAGCATAAGGATTTGCACACCTATGGGCAAAGTGGGAGACAGCTGCCATCCACTGACTCGTAAAGTTAGTATGTATGTTTGCATTCACGGTAGTTCTCTTATGTTGTAGCACCCTAACTTTGAGCAAAGTCTGTGCGACATGAAGCCCAGGGTAGTGTACTTGAAACTGGAAGTTAGAGATGATGATAATGGAAAACCACCTGCTCTTCCCTCTCCCCTTCTGTTTGAAAGAATTATATCCACTAACATTCTTATTCTAGTGATCATTTGCACATCATTATTCTCATGACATTAGAGACATTTCATAATTTCAAGCACATGAATTTGCTTAAAATCATTTAGGAATTCATACATGTCATTACATATACATATACATTATACCATCGTATGCTTCTTTGCAGAAATCAGAGTATAGAAGTTCTTGAAAAGACTTTTAATATCAGGCCTACTGATAAGGCAGAAGTAAAGAAGTTGTGTGTTGTGGAGGCATGTGCTGTGTCTTTAGTTTCTGGGTTAAGAACTTAAGGATTTGGATTCCTATGAGCAAAGTTGGGAGACAGTTTTGTTTTTCAAAAAATTATCAATAATATAACTAGTTTTATATCTTAATTCAAGATACAAAAGTAATTGACTCTGTCTACAGGATAGATTGTTCACAATCCTAGAGGTGACAGTTAATTTTCTAATGTATCTTATCTAATAGTTTAATATCAGAGTGACCTACAACATACTTTCAAAGAGTTATTGGCAGTAAGAGTTATGATCATAGGATAGCAGGGTTGGGTAGGACTCTGGAGGTTGTGTTGCAGATTCTTACATCTGCAGGTGCCAAACACGTTTACACTGCTTCTGGAAGGGGTAGATGGGAGGCAAGAGGGAACTGGGAAGGTGGGGAGCTTGGAAAGTTTTTGCACTTCAGATTAAAAACTTTTGAAGCACAGTATGATCTCAGCAAAGTCCACCAGGGATGCTAGGTTGCAGTGACTTGCTCTCCTAGTCTCATGTCCTCTTCTTACCCAGCAGTAAGGTGAAGTCCAAAGGCACAGAAAGACATGCCCCAGGCCAGGTAACTTGTTGGAGGCAGAGTTCAGTCTCTGCAGTGTTCTCTCTACACTTTATCGAACCAAACTGAATTCCTTCTCTACTTTTTATCACATGTGCATAGAGTTTAAAACTAATAAAATCAAACATCTTCCCTGTACTTCACAGTCATGGCTAACTTAATATTTTGACTTCCTTGTACTAAATGTAATGGGATAAATTGGCTTAGGTTTATTTCCGTGAGCTGTATGTAACAGGGACTCTGGTTGTTTGGACCTATCTGAAGACTGAGTGTGGCTTTCCTGTGGCTTCCTTGAGAAATACTTCCTGTAACATTTAAACCATTCCTCCCAAGGGGTTTGATCACTTGAGACTGTACTGCCATTTTTTTAAACATATTATGCCCCTTTTACTCATGGCTATTTTAGAACAGAAAAGGTTTTAAACCGTTAGTCATCTGTCTCGATGCCAAACTCCCCACGAGGAGGTGAATTGGCTCAGCCACCTTTGGCATTGATCTGTTTGGTCCCCTTCCTTACTGAATGTCAGTCATCTTTTGTACATTTGAGTTGCTGTCACTGAAAAGCTTACTCCTAACTTAGTCTTCATCTTCAAGAACTGTGTTGTTTTTGTACATCACCTCACATGCCCTAGGTAAGGATCACTGTTTGCTGAAACAAGTGAAGAGTGTCATATACTGTGGAATCATTTTTGTATTAGCAGCAATAATAGTTGCCACTTGCTGAATGCTACATGTGCCAGATAGCCTATAGTAAATGTTGCATACATGGTTCTTAATGCTCACAACAAATCTATGGAGTAGGGTGGTTTTGTCAGTCTCCACACAGCAACGTTAGACCTCTGATGGCATCAGTAACTACAAAGTAACAGGTCAGAGTACCAGTACCACAAAGTAACAGGTCAGAGGGCAGACACCAGATTTTATTTCTTGTCTGTGGTCTTAACCACTATACTTTTCTTTCTCTGTGAAAGATGTTGTTGTGTATAATTTCAACATTTTTTAGTCCAATTAACCGAAACTGGTTTGTGTGGGTCAGAGGTTCACTGGGATGAGGGTTAACAGGCCAAAGTGAGAATTTTGTCTCATACTATGGTTCTGATGCCTTTTCCAAATCTGAGATATTTTAAAAAGAGAACCAAATTGTTTCTCTGGTTCCCATATAGCTTCTAGTTCAGGTTTCATGTAAGGCCAATTCTGAAAGTAAACAAAACATTCTCCCATAAATCTGGGTATATCTCTATGCTTTTGTTTTTATCACAGTTTTAATAATGAAGTCTCTAATAATAGATTATGGTTTTCATAGTAGAATTAAGGGACAAGAAATGAAGTATTTTTAAAAATAAGATTTTATATCACATCTGAACATTTGCCCTATTCAGATGCCCACCTGAAATTTGTTTCTAGAACTCAGTGTTACAATTTTTCATACTGGTTATTTTTCTGTCTTAAAAATACATTTTTGCCCTGGCTGGTGTAGCTCAGTGGATTGAATGCGGGTCTGTGAACCAAAGGATCGCGGTTCGATTCTCAGTCAGGGCACATGCCTGGGTTGCAGGCCAGTTCCCATCAGGGGACATGTGAGAGGCAACCATACATTGATATTCACTCCTTCTCTCCTTCCCTTCCCCTCTAAAGATAAATAAAAATAAAAATCTTTGAAAAAATACATTTTTTTTGTCATTTCAACAACCTATTTTTAGTCCCACACTTGTTACTTCTTCTGGTTGAAATTAACCTAATTACCTTAGTAAAAATCAAGATTTTCCCAGAATATCTCCCAATTATATCCTATTCAAAACAACTCAGAAAAATTCATAAATATATTCTGGTGAAATTCTACTCTGAAGTTTAGTGGCTCATTAGTAGATGGTAAAGAATGGAGACACAGTATAGAAAATTCTGTTTTAATGTGATGTGCTGATTATGCCCCCCATTTTTTTTAAAGAAAAAAATGGGTTAACTGGTCGTGGTCACCGGAATCGGTGATCTAAACACACAAGACTCTGAATAGGTGAAGACTACCCGTTTAAATTTTAAACTTCCCTTTCTGGTTTGGCCTAGTCATTAGCCACAAATGTCTGTTCATGTTGATAAAGTGAACAATAGTTGATGAGTGAAATTGAGAACTGTCGATAGGAGCTGATAGCCCTGAATTCAGTTTACTATTTTATTGTACATGTGCCACCTAACTGGTAAAGTTTGCAATCACTAACTGCTAGACTATACTTTTATAATTATATAGAATTAACTTTACATTTGATAATTCAAAAATAAGGTAAAATAAACTCCATCTAAAGAGAATATATTTTCTAACCACATTTTTGGCAAATAAATAATAGTTTTAACATGACTTCATCTTTTAACAGTAAAATTTTTAACACAAGTTACTGAATCATATCACAAGAGGGAATACTTTGCTATTTTTAAAAGGTCATTATTTTAATGCCTACTAATACCTATATTTTTCAGAGTTTACGAAGACAGGCAAATTCTACTCCATTCTGTTTACCTGTTAGCTTTGGAGTTTATAATTATGTGATTAATACTTTGTGGGGTTTTTTTTATTTTTTTTTGTTTATTTTTTAAATTGATTATGCTGTTACAGTTGTTCTATTCCCCCCTTCATTCCCCTCCACCCTGCCCCCCCATCCCCACCATTACCCCCCTTTAGTTTATGTCCATGTGTCTCAAGTCCTTTACGTTCTATATTTCCCATGCTATTCTTGCCCCCCCATCTATTTTCTATCTACTGTCTATGCTACTTATTTTCTGTACCTTCTCCCCCCATCTCCTCCTCCCACTCCCCTGTTGCTAACCCTCCTTGAGATCTGCATTTCTATGTTTCCACTCCAGATCTAGCTGTTCTTTTAGTTTGCTTTCGTTTTAGGTGTGGTTGTTAATAACTGTGAGCTTGTTGTTCTTTCACTGTTCATGTTTCTTTAACTTCTTTTTCTTAGATAAGTCCCTTTAACATTTCATATAATAAGGGCTTGGTGATGATGAACTCCTTGAATTTGATCTTATCTGAGAAGCACCTTATCTGTCCTTCCATTCTAAATGAAAGTTTTGCTGGATAGAGCAATCTTGGTTGTAGGTCTTTAGATTTCATGACTTGGAATATTTCTCTCCAGCCCCTTCTTGCCTATAAGATCTCTTTTGAGAAATCTGCTGACAGCCTGATGGGGACTCCTTTGTAGGTGATTGTCCCCTTAGCTCTTGCTGCTTCCAGGATTCTTTCCTTCATTTTAATTTTGGCTAATGTAATTATGATATGCCTTGGTGTGTTTCTTCTTGAGTCCAACTTTTTTGGTACTCTCTGGGCTTCTTGGATTTCTTGGAAGTCTATTTCCTTTGCCAGATTGGGGAAATTTTCTTTTATTATTTGTTCAAATAAGTTTTCCACTGGTGGTTGTGTCTTTCCCCCCTTCTGGTACCCCTATAATTCGGATATTGGAGCGTTTAAAGATGTCCTGGAGGTTCCTAAGTCTCTCCTCATTTCTTTGAATTCTTGCTCCTTGACTCTTTTCTGTTTGGCCATTATTTGCTTTCTTCTGGTCCACTCCATTGATTTGAGTCCCAGTTTCCTTTTCAATGCTGTGGGTTTCCTGTGGAATTCCATTCATTTCCATTAGTTTAGCCTTCATATGTTTCTCTAATTTGTGGCTATAATCAACCAGATCTGTGAGGATCCTGATGACCAGTGTTTTAAACTGGCGTCTGAGAGTTTTGCTATTTCTTCGTCACTTAGATTTATCTCTGGGGCTTTGAGGTCTTCCTGCGACATTTTTGGTCTGTTCTGGCCCTTTAAATGTGAGAAGCGGCGCCTTGGACTCCCAGGTCGCTGGGTTGTGACGCTGTATGTGGGGGCGTGGTCAGAGCGGGGAAATGGCGGCGCCCTCTACCGCCGCTTGCTGCGGGGATGCTGGGCCCCGGTCCAACTGCCCCCTCCCTCGCCTGTCCGCTTGCCCGCAAATAGGCAACCGCAGTCAACACGCAGCACT